ATAAAATCAACATTTTAGAGAGTGGCATTTTCATGTCTTCCTCTGTATCACTCACAACGAAATGCAAATACTGAAGAACCTGGCCCTTCGGGTCAAGTGGCACTAGCCACGCTTGTAAGGTTCATGTCCCCCTCCTCCAGGGCAACAGTTCGAGTCGGCCTCATGACAAAATGTTCAAAAAAAAAAATGCAAATACTGAAATATGTTTAAAAAAAAAAAAACAAATGCAAATACTGAAATTAGGCCGCTGATTCCAGTGATGGGATCCAAATCCAACAGCCTTTACATGGGCCTTGTCCTTTATGATAGAAAGATAGCGGTGGGCTTTCATATAATGGAATTAAGTAACATGGATGCTCAATAATGGAGATCCATCCATCTTGTTTTACAAGAGTTGGAATGCTCAATGTGCATTTCGACCTAAACCCAACTATTTATTTTGAAACCCAAATGGGGAATGCCATTTGCCTAATTGAAGAAGTGTTATTTGAGTTGCATGATAAATTCATATAAAGTAATTATAAAAAATTTAAAAATTGATAAAACAAATTATTAGATTTCGGGAACCTAGCCTCTAACCACGTTTGTAAAGGTTCATATCCCCCTCCCTCAAGGTAACGGTTCGAGCCGGCTCCATGACAAAAATGTTCAAAAAAAAAAAAATTATTAGATTTCGAAAGTTCTACAGTAAAAAGTAGTTCTACTCCAAAAACTACATGTTTATAATTTCATATAGAAGTTTTAAGTAATTTTTGATAAGAACATAATCATTTTTTAGAAAAATTACAAGAAAAAATATAATTAAGTTAGATTTAAAGCTAAAAGATTACTTGTGTTAAGAATTGTTCTTTTTGTTTCATAATAATTGTTGTTTTTAGACTTTTTTTTTTGAAGTAAGAATTTAAAGATTATTTATGTATTTATTTATATTACTTTTAGGAAAAAATTTAAAGATAAAGTAAGACATTTTATGATAAAATAATTAATTAAAATAAATTGATAATGATAAGATTAAAATAAAAAATATTTATTTAATTTTTTTAAAAAATAAACAATTAATTTAAAATGAATTCTAAGTTAAAAATTAACAATTATTTTGAGACAAAACAAGTAAATTCCTTTGTATATGGTCATTAATATTATCAACACCTTTCTGACATGAACAACCTCAAAGTTGAATTTATTGATAAGAAATAAATTTTTTTTAATGTACTAAATGAATGTCAAAATATTTTTTTAAAATTATATGACGAAAGAGATGGTTTTGAGATACACAGAAAATTTATCTAAAGACATCCAAATTGTAAATATTAGAAAAGTCCCAACAAATTAGACGTATAATCCGTCCACCGACGGCCAAAAAATTAGAAAAAATCCTTCAACAAAAGTTAATATAGGGAATCCAATCTGAAAAGTCAATATAATGAAGAGAAAATGGCACATTACGATACCTTGCAATGTGGACATTCGCGATGATGACAAGCCCTGAACCCCATTTCCCAGCCACATGCTTCCTCTCATGATGATCAACGATAAATGCTAATAAAAATAGTGTGTACCCTTTGACTGCATATATTTATGGGGAGTACAGTAATAATATCAGAGATAGCAAAAAAAGCAGTGTTTCCTTGGCGGTGGTAGCTTGGAAAATCAGCCAACACACCATGCCGTCCTTGATTCTCTATGGTCCCTGCTCCACGGGCAGAATCTTTCTCTTTATTATTCGTGAAATTAACGAAAAAGCTAATACAGGAGTAGTAAATGCTAAGATTTTAATTAATTATTCATAAGACCATTAAAAACATGGGTGTTGGACAAGAGTATATAAGGAGGAACTAAATAATTAAACAGATGGTGTCGTTACCATGAGACTTAGGTTGTGTTAGAGTCAAGAAACACTTGATTGTTCTGCATTAGTAAGATACGAATGATGAGAATACGATTGACACGAGTCTGTTTGATATTAATTAGTGAATAATGTTGTGAATATGATATTATTCATGTGTCATTTTTTTAAAGTTATATTAATATTTGATATCCATAAAAAAATTAATGTTTGATTATTAATTATTATTATTATTTTAAATGTATATTTGAATAATGACTAAATATACAAAATATTAATTAAAATCATTTCAGTCATAACTCATTAACATTTTTAATGTTGCATGGTTTGAGAGCATATAAAGCACTGTGGAAAACAATATGATCAGACGTAGCCTAGATAAATGAGTGTGGACTAATGAATTAGATAAGTTAGTCTTTACTTCAAAATGTAATTTAAAAGGAAAATAATTAATACATTTTTTTCATTAATTTAGTTCAATTATTAAAATATAAGATACCAACAACCCGTTAATCTGAGTGGAACGAGTTCGGTTCTCCTTAATTAATGCCTTGAATTCAAGTCTTATGAATAAAGAAACAGGCGTTGGTAGAGTTTCCTTCTTAATGAAATCCGATATAACTTGATTTTGAATTAGTTGAGATCTAATGTAGTTATCTAATATCAAGAGATTAATAAAAAAAATAAAAATATAAGATAAATGTAGTCCAATCAATTAATTTTTATATTTTAACTACAAGCATAATTATATTTTTAAATTTATTTATTTTTAGTTTTATTCTAAAAAGTAATAATGTTTAATAAACATGTTATACAATATATTAAATTAAAGAGTGAATCAGTTAATGTTCAATCCAAAATATATGTATTAAACCTTTTTCACAAAACAGACAATCACATACTCACAAAATTTGAAAGATGAAAGACGCAAGAAGAGTTTATAAGGTCCTTCAGGAGAGGAGAGAGTAGAGTAGAAGTCACGAATCCAAAATAATTGTACTGGGATGGTAGATTTGTTGCTAGTTTGAAAACGAGGTGTTGGGTTTTGGGGTTAGAAATTGAGGAGAGTGGAGGGGTGAGGTGTGTAAGGAGGTGTTTGTTGTCATGCATGTGCACATGATGCGCTTGTGATGGGGACAAGGCATTCCCCTCTCCAGCTGTATCCTTTTAATTGCACTTACCTTTCATTTCATCAATGCGTACTCCCCACTCTTTTGACTCTTTTTCGCCTCTTTACCATCACCAATATTTTCCTTTCCATAGAAATCTTGTCTCTCTAATCCCTCGATGAGTTAAAAAAAAAAAAAAAAGGAACTTAAATGCACTAGTACCGTAGTAATAAACGCAGGGGATAATTAAAAAATCAAAAAAATATTTTTTAAATCAACCTAAAAAAATAAAATATTTATAAAATTATATAAATATCTTTAATAAATTATTTATACATGTTAACTTATTACATTTATGTTTTTTTGTCAACATTCTTTCACTTTTTTTCTGCAGGTTGATATGAAAACTCCCACTTGCATTAAAAAAAAAAAAACATAGGTAGTAAAATATAAAGGGTGAGTTTAGTTAATGGAATAGATATTCCATGGTCAAAGATATTAAAGGTAGATTAATGATAGTAGAAAGGATTGAGAATGCATATTTCTTACTCTTTTTTTCTTTTTTGTCTTATCTTTTTCTTCTAACAATGTGACAGAAGATTAATAATACTTTTTATTAAGTGTTAATGATTCTAGTCAACTGTCATTTAGTAATATAAATTATTGTAAGGGATATGTATTCTCAATTTCTTACATTCTCTAAGTAATTTATTTAAAATTATGCTTTGACCATGCATTACATATTTCATCTAATCAAATGAGCCCGACAAAATGATATGAAGTTTTAAGTTAATTAGTTAAAAGCTTAAAGGCTTAGACCCTTTAAACTTTCAAATTTGTGGATTTTACTCCCCAAGCGCGCGGCAAATAGTGAATTCCTTTTCAAGTCTTTTTAAAATTTTTAATGATACGACTTTAACGGTGTTACACCAATGAATGGTTGGTTTGGATAGATGAAATTCAGTTTTTTTTTTAAATAAGATTTTAAATTCGAGTTTTATAAATGAAAAAATAAATGTTAGAATTTAACGAGATTCAATTTTGAATTAATCGAGATTCAATATAATTATTGGATACCAGAATGTCACTTTAAAAAAAAAAACATTTCACTCTTACCTGTAGTTTACGTTAGAAAGAAAAACAATTACCCAGTGTCCAATGAAATGATTAATCATATAATGAATCTTCCTCACATCCAATAGAAATGAAGCAGCCAACCTTCTTTAAGACAGGTCTTGTCTTTTTTTTTTCTTTATTTATTTACTTTCTAAGTATTTTTGAGTTAGTTTTTATGTATGTTGAGATTAATTCTTAAAAGAAATTTTGAGTTAATTTTTACACATCTTGACATTGATATTTTCTCAATTGATCTTAAAAATGCATCTTATATCAACTTGGTGCATTCAAAACTTAAAACTTAAACCTAGTTAAATATGATAGTTACTTATCAATGTATCAAACCTTGAGTTGTCAATTTATGTTACTATTATTGGAGTATCATGCAGGGAAGTGGTTGGTTAACGCTACACAATATATTTTGGGGGTCATAGAAACTTTTTAATAAATGTTAATTATTTTTTTATTTATCAACTGGTAATTTTAGTTATTAGCTATTTCTAATAATCAAAGTGAGTAAAATTAATATTTTAAAAAATAGAATTTACATCTTCTATCTCAAAATAATAGATATTTTTTCATTTTATCTTCAAATGAAGAATTTAGGGGCAATTACTATTTTTAACTATTCTACCCTTAAAAGATAAATAAATAAACTATTTTAATCAAAGGATTGATAATTAAAATGTAGAGATAATAACAAGATTAACATAATATGTTTGGGTTGAAGAAAATAAAAAAAAGAGGAGGGCAAAGAAAAATTTTCTAACCAATCAATTTATAATATGTTAAAAATATTATAATTTGATTAGTTAAAAAAATTTTTTTTTTCTTTTCTTTTTTTTTTCTCGATTTAAACATATAATTAAAATAAAAAAATAACTATTATTTTAAAATAAATTTTAACTAAAAAATATTTATTATTTTGAGGCGGAGATGGTAAAAATTGAGTATGATAGTAGTAGACAAGTATGCTACCCATAATTAGTCCGACCAATCCCATCATCATTTTACTCGGTTTTGAAAATTGAGGTGTGGTTATACCCACACCACACTTGGTTAAAACCACATAAATTTTATTTAATTTAATTAATATTAAAAAACTTTTAGACAATTAATTATAATATTTAAAATATTAACATATAAATTAATTTTAATTTATTAAATGATAAATATTATTTATTTTATTAATTATTATTTATTATTAATAACTAAATTAAAAAATTAATATTTTTTAAAATAATATCATGTAACCATACCACATTATTGAGAAACATGACTGCAAATTCTCCATGAACTCTATCCCTCCCGATCTAACGTGCCCCCACGGCGGCCACACCACGTCGAGTCCACATCTCATCTTACCCAATTCCAATTTCAACAAAGTCGTACGCTCTACTTAATGCAGTTGAATACAACTCGCCAATTCTATAAACAATATCGCTGAAAAAAAAAAATAAAAAGGAAGTTTTAACACGCGCTGAGAGGGCGAGTGGTGAGAGTTAGTTAGTGCATCACGTCTACGTCGGTCCCCCGATCAATTTACAACTCCCGAGGCACCGTGGCTGTAACGGTTATCGAACCGACAGCTGAGTCCCCCACCCCGTTCCGGTAGGCTTGTAGTAATTAAACATTTTTTAATTTGACAAAATCATATGTTAAATCCCTGAAGAACCCCACATTTGTTATTGACTTTTAAATTTTATTTTATTTTTTTTGAACAAATTGTCGAAGGACGGGTTTGAAGCTTACTTACGAGAGAGGGAGAATGCATCTCAAATTGATAAGTTGTCAGTTGATTTAAAGAGACAGGTGCGACTTTTAAATTTTAATTAATACATATAAATTTTTAGATTTTAAGTAATTTAACTCTTAATTTTTTAAAAATTATCTTTTAAAAGTGTTTTTAATTAAGTTTTAAAAAATTATACATCCAGCTTGCTTAAAACAACCTTTAAAAATTAATTTTTATTTTTTTCTTTAATAAAATTTTAAATTTATAAGAGAAGAATTTAGATTTTAAACTTTGCCAAATACCCTTTAGATTGAATGATTTATTGACTTCATTAGTGGTTTTTTTGTTGCATCAAATAATAAATTACAAAATAGAAATAACAATATCCTTCCTTAATTTTTTCTTATTAATTTCAAATTTTAAACTTAAAAACTCTAATTTAAGACTTAAACATTTAAGCAATTAAAACACTCCCACCTAATATCCCACCCACTATGGTACTACAAATTAACTATGTCTTATTGACTTTTTGCTAGTTATTTATAATATTTTATCAAACATTGTTATAAAGATAATTTTTTATATAATTTTTTTATATAATTTTTATATATTATTAAATAAGTAGATATATACAATATTATAAGTTTCATTTGAATAAAAAAAATTAATTATTTAAATAACATATTAAATCATACAAAAAAATAATACAAAAAATTATTCCAAAATTATTTTCTTATTTTAACATAAAGGCTAAAGAACAGATGCACTTTTTTTAGCTTCAGTTAAAAAAAAAAAGAAAGACGTACGGTAATTAGCAGAACGGCAATGGGGTTAGTTGTCACGGACTACGGAGGATATATACAGTTCGACCTTTAACGGATGTCCTCAAAATCATGACTCATGAGCCCGTGTTTGGTTTTCCCTCAATAAAATAAAGGTAGAATCGTTTTCGTACGGTGTTGCCTTACATGCAGAAAAGGATAGATGCTCAATAATGATATCACCAAGAGAAGAGAGAGAAAGAGAAAAAGAAGTTGCTTTTACTATTTTGTCTGCTACCATGGTGCGAATGTTGGAAGCATGGAAGCAAAGCAAAGGACGAGAATGGCGGCAACCCATCCCTATATCATAACTATCCCCACCAGGCCACCACCACCCCCCCCTCCCTCTACCCAAGAAAATGAAACAAAATAAAAGGAAAATAGTTTGATACTACATTTTTATTGTTTGTTTTTGATCCTTCTCTGGTTATTCCTTTTCCTTCTGTTTGGTGGGTTTCCCAAAAAGGGAAGTTGGATTAATGATGGGGTTGGAGGATGGATTTGGCGTTTTAGACAAGGCAACCAAACAGGGTAGTAGTAGTAGTAGTAGTGAAGCTGGGGATTTGGGTGGGGGGAAGAAGCTGCAAAGTTCTAAATCATTGCAGCAGATGATGATGACGACGATGATGGGTCATCACCGTGACAATCTCCACCGTCCATTTCTTGATCCTCCACATGATTTTGGTTCTGGACCTTCTGGTTATGGGGATGGACCCACCACATGTACCAGCAGTAGCAGCAGGCCTAAGATCAGTAATATATACGATGTTGTTGCTACTAGTGGTTCTAGTGCTGCTGCTTCTGCTAGTGTGGGTGCAACAACTTTTGACATTTCAGCTGCAAACTCTGAAATTTCACACGTCACCGCCCTCAAATCTCCAGGTACAGAGATTTTCTTGCTCTTTTTCCATCTTTTTCCTTTCAAATCAGTGCAATCTTACAAAGGGTATCTGTTTCTTTCATAAAAATTGGATCTTGAAAATTATCCCCAAAAGGATGGATTTTGGGTTCTTTTCAATGTTTTCTTGGTTCTTTAATGGAGAAGAGGGAGAAGTTTATGAGTAAAAGGGTCTGTTTGTTTGACGTAGCAGGTGGGATGGCAGCATCTTTGGAGTTTCCTTTTACAAGTTCTCAGTGGAAGGAACTTCAGAGACAAGCTCTGATATTCAAGTACATGATGGCCTCTTTACCTGTTCCTCCTGATCTTCTCTTCCCTACCATCAGGAACCCTTCTGTTGCAGCTGCTTCCCACTGTTCCCGTAATCATTTCCATATTCTTTTCTTCAACCTCTGTCTTTTTTCAATCATGGTTGTTGTCTGTGTTTGAAAGGTGTTTGAGAAAATGCCCCTTTGGGTTTAACCAGCTATTTCTGTTTGCTGTGGGCAGTGGGTTCTGGTTTGAATCTGGGATTTTCAAGCAGAGGCATAGGGGATCTTGAGCCAGGGAGGTGTAGGAGAACAGATGGGAAGAAGTGGAGGTGCTCAAGAGATGTGGCACCAGGCCAGAAATACTGTGAGCGTCACATGCACCGAGGACGTCCCCGTTCAAGAAAGCCTGTGGAACTTCCCAATAAGAAGAGCCGCCAAAGCCATACTCAAGATCTTCCTTCGTCTCCTTCCACATTAGTTCTTCCTAATTCTTGCATCACCGCCAATGCTTCTCAATCTCCACTTCTCGGTAGTATTTCAGAGCCCTTTCATCAGATTCAAACTACAGAATTTCCTGGTGAATTGAGTCAGAAATCTGCAACATTTGGATCCATGGTCTCTATCGCATCATACAAGGAACCCAGGTATCTATTATCTTCTCTTCTTTCTCTTTCCTTTATTTCACTTTAAAGCATGAAAAACAGAGTTGATGAAATATCACAAAAAGAGGGAGAAAGAAACATTGACTCTTTTTGGGTTTTAGTTATGTTTTCTTCCCCTGATTTTGCTGATTTTTTTCGACATGGAGTCTGGACTGGATTATGGACAGAGAATCTGTTTCCATGGCTTCATCCCACCAGCAATTGCAACATCTCATACAGCAGACCAAGATTGAACAGCCCAACAACTTCCCTCTTCTTAACCAAACTTGTAGCCAGGAACCTCTGAGTTTGAATTCATATGTGGATTTTGGAAAGGATCAAGAAATCAACAACTGCCATTTGATTCTCAACCCCGCTATGGTTCCTATGGGGGGAAAACCCCATGGAAATCCTGGAAGGAGCTTTATTGATGCATGGTCTAGTGATGGCCACAATGCAAACCCTGGCACCAAAACAGATGAAAAGCTCTCTCTGTCACCACTTTCTCTCTCAATGGGAGGCAGCACCATCATTGATGATGAGATGGTTCATATCCACATGGGTTTAGGAGTGACTGACAGTGATCAAAACCAGGAATCTGGTGCCAAACCCCATCTCTCAAACTGGTTAGCCCCTGCTTCTTGGACAGCTCCTACACCAGGAGGACCACTTGCGGAGGTGCTAAGGCCCAGCAAGGTGGCCCATGCCACCACTAAAACCACTGAAACCAGCTCTAAACCATTGTCTCCCACTGCCAAAAATGATGATCCTTGTAGCCCCTCAGTGAATGCAATGTCTTCACCATCTGGGGTTCTGCACAGAACCCTCGCCTCCATGTCTGATAGCAGTGGTAGTACCAGTCCAACACTCACCAGTTCAAGGGCAAAACCGGAGATTAGTTTCTTGTGGTTGAGTCAAGGAAAATCAGCATCCTCTAATTGATTTCAGAATGAGAACTACGAAGACGATATTTGTTTTTGTTTTCTGGTTCTTCAAAGGGTTGATTTGGTTGTTGGACTATGATCTTGACTTGGCTCTGTAATTGTGCATTAATTAGTAGTAGTTTTTGGGATTTTACAGTCATTTTATGAACTAGAAGAGACAAAATTTGCCTAAATATGTTGATTGTGTTCACTATTATGTAAGAATATGGTATTTTGATTGAAATGACCCCAATCAAAACTTTTATTTTCACTTGTTTAACAACTCTTTAGATTGAGATTGACATAATAGCTCAAGCTCAAATTATTGTTTTCATGGAAAGACGTAATATTTCATCCAATAATAAAGCGGTAACAAATATTAACATTTGTTAA